TTAAGAGACAGTGGGCTGAAGGGGTCGTGGACACTGAGTCACACACGAGCACTGCGTGAGCAGTCAAAGCCAGAGCTGCCAAAGGGAGCGGAGTGGCAGGAGCTCCCCTTTGAAGGAGTCTTTTGGGAAGAAACAATTTCCTTTGACATTCACATTTCAATGAGGGAGTTAGAAGCTATAATCAAGCTAATGGTAGCCATAATCAACCTAATGGTTCCTAGTTCCTTCCTTCCTGAGCTGAAAGTATCTGAGATCACAGGTAAGAGTACGAGACAAAGTTCTGGAAGAAAACACTGATCCTGAAGAGGTTTCTTCCAGGCTGCTCAGCTAAAAGCTGTGATGGCATGAGGAGCTGCCTGATGCTGAGGGGAGATCAGCCAGAGAAGCAGAGCAACCCAGGGGCAGTTTTGGCCATCTGGCTGACCACAACTGCACATGGCCAGGTACATTAGCACTGTGAGGCAATGCCAGTGGACATGAGGGCAGAGGGAAGACAGAGAAGAGGTTTCTTTAGTTTGCACATGTACTCCTGCTGTGAAACTGTGAATATAATTCTGCTCATCACCTTTCAATAGGCTTAATCTGGTTAAAAAACTCCCACAGATCCATATGCACACACTGAGAAAAGTGTTGGAAAAACATTCGAAATCCCATTTCACAAATTCCCTAAAATTTCAAGTTGTTTTGCTGCTAGTAAGGAGGATATTAGAATCTGTAGTGAAAGGACAATAAATTAGAATCTGTAGTGATAGGACAAGGAGTAATGGGTACAAATTGAAAGGGGGGAAATTTAGGTTAGACATTAGGAGGAAATTCTTTACTGTGAGGGTGGTGAAACACTAGAACAGGTTGCCCAAGGACATTGTGGATGCCTCAGCCTGGCAGCGTTCAAAGCCAGTTGGATAAGGCCTTGAGCAACCTGGTCTAGTGGGAGGCAGGAGGGTTGGGACTAGATGATCTTTGAGGTCCATTCCAACCCTTTAGCATTTTATGATTTTGTGACTCTGTGATTACAGAAACACTGAATGAAGGAGGTCCTTTTAAGCTGGGCATTACTTGCATTCACTCTGAGATTAAGTGTATCTGCCTTGCTTACCTTGATTTAAAGATTTGAATGACCTGTTAAAGAATGTTTTGCTTTGTTGAATTTCAGGAAATTGTTTTTCCTTCAAGCTCAATATAGCAAGCTACTGGAATAATTGGTGATTTTGAAAAGACAAAAAACCCCACTTCCATACAAACCAACCAAATTTTACAAGCTTTTCAGGTTTTTTTCAGGACTCTTTTAAAGACCACAGAGAATAGGACACCAAGAGAGCACTGAAACAACACTGCAAAAAGCAGCTTCAAATAACAAAAAAATCCTGACTTTCAGAGGTTTTTCTTTTACTGAATTTTTTAATCTGTCAGTTTGTAAAGGTTAATTAACATTGAGGTGGCCTATAATGTGCACAGCCTCCTACACTAAACACAGACAGTGCTGTAATCCAGAGTAATCCAAAGCTCAGTGCAGTAACTGGGCTGACTTTCTCAGCCACAGCAGGCCTGGGATCATTTCCTTCTTACACATCATATTTTTACCCTCATTTGCCAGCACTGCAGTTTGAGTTATTAATGTTCCTTTGAATGTTAATGGCTGAAGATGGTGGCTGCAGAGAGCTGCCTGAAGCAAATAAGGGATTTGCCTCTGTATTTTGTTTCCTCGAGACAGAAATGAAGGGCTGTTCAGTGCACACATTGTTCCCACAGTGACAGATGCTTTGGGAATATCTCTTTTCCAGCAGCCTCTGGAGCCGCTGTTAGAGCAGTGCCAAGGTCTGTCATCTCACAGAGGTCCTCAGGAGTGCCCAGCACAGCAGGCACCCTCATCTAAGTGCTGGTTTAACCTGGACATGCCTTGAACCTGTCAGGATGTGCTTTGGCAGCAGAAAGCTCAGAGCCTGCCCCTCGCTTCAGGCACTGCTCACCATAGATTTTGCAGGTGCCCCCTGGAATGATCTGCATTCTCCAGCACAGACTCCTGAAGCTCCTTCTCTCTCCTCTGCAGCCCCCTTGGTCCCCCTCACTGGTCCTGCATTGCCCCCTCACTGGTCCTGCACTGCCATTTTTCCAGGCTTTCCCTGTGTTGTGCACAGAGGAATTCCAGCCACGGGCTGGAGGACTGGGGGTTCTGCAGGCTGGCAGGGACCGAGGCACAGCCACGTTGGCTCAGTCCTGCCTCTGAATAGAGCCCCAAGAATCTCTGCTCAATTTAATTACCGTTTTCTCTGATATACAGAGTAATAAACAATAATAAGATTTAGAGGCACATTGATGCACTACTTTAATCCAGTTATGCAAATAATTCTATTAAAAGCTGTCATGAGAAACTTGTTTGCCAATCTCCACCCCTCTCCAGGGAGCTGCTGTGGTTCTCTGAGGGGCCAGGGCTCATCACTAAGGTATTTTTGGTGGTATACTTTTTAATTACAATTTAAGAAATCATTGCATGCTTCGATTTTATAGGGTAGCCTGGTTCAGAACTTGATGAATCTATTAACTTTCCCTGGAAGGGCTTTTGTTGTTCCTTGCTTACATTGCAGCCCAGGACTCGCACAGAGCAGGGCAGTGCTCTGCAGGGATGAGCAGGGTTTGCATCTGAGCTGAGGTCTGGCAGAATGGAATATCCTCCTCCTCTGCTGGGATTTCTTTCCAGTTATTTCCATGTACAGAGAGACTGTCAGCAGGTACAGACCCAGGTGTTCTGTGTCTTACAGCAGTAAATAAGTGTTATTTATGAGGGTTCCTTGGACTGTTCCTAAAGGACAGTCTCCAGTAAACACTCCTAGGTGCATTATGGAGTTAGCACACATGCTTGGGGGTGGGAATTTTGGGTAGGTATCAAAGGCACGAGACAGCAAGTGGGTTATCAGAGCATGGACAGTCTTGGGCTTTGGAAAAGGAGGGGTCACTGAGGATCACACCTCCTCATTGCAAAAATCCTCTGGAAGATTCCACTGGGCCAAACCTCTACAGCTCTGAGCATCTCTGAAATGTGGGCAGTGCTACGGATATGGAAGGAAAAGCAGGGGAGAGTGAGGTGTCTTCACTTACAGTGAAGAGCACAGATTTAGACAGCAGGGTCACAGCTTCACAATTTGAAGCTATTCTGCATAGCTGTTGGAAGGACTCACAGAGCATCATTCCAGCAAATATACTGTATTTCCAGTGTTTATAGATGCACTAATGCTTCCTCAAACACAGGCTATGCCCTGTGGTAAAACATGGGGCTTGTATCAAAAGGCAGTGTACTTAAGAAACACATATATAAGTCAGTCAGTATTGGATCAGGAACTAAAAAACAGATTAGATAGTGACCAAAGGTCACTAAAGCTGAAATCAGGTAGACAAAGAAAAACACTTAATTAAACCTTAATAAGGGCCAGGTAGAGTTGTCTCTCCCCCACTTTGAGAATATCTGCTCAGAGCAGTCAAAAAAGACTAACTTGCTTGCACAATGCATTACTTCAAATAAATTTTCCTCATACTTGGATGAAGGAAATTCAAGGCTGTATTTGTATCATGTTTAGGGAATGGCAATTTATCTGGGGTGGGCAAAAGCAGGTCCTGCCATAAGGCCACTGCTCAGATGAACATGGTGAGTGTTTCTCAGCTGAGGGATGGACTGGGAAAAGCTGGTACTTATCATACCAGCTGAACAACAGATGCTCTGCACAGTTCTAATGGAGCAAATCTTGCTGGCTGAGCTGTCGATGGTGAGTTATAATTAGATGTCTGAGATGATGCAGGGTACAGATAAAAGCTGAAAATGGTACACCTGCAGCTGGGGAAAAAAATGCAAAATTGGACAGAATTAGACAATACATCAATCAATCTGCCCACCAGATGAGAAGAGGGTAGGGAGAAAAACAATGTGCTGGTGGTAAAGTCACAGCTGCCTTTGCCATTTCTGCATGAAGAAATGTAATACAAACTTTTACCTTCAGCCCCCCACTCTCACTGCCCACTATCTTTTTCTTTTCTCAGACAAAAATAGTGACATTTCTCCTCCTTACCCTGAAGAAAAGGTTGCCCAAGGGTCAAAGCAAACATTTCTGACTCATGGAAAGCACACTGAAAGCAGAGCTTTCTGAAAGGAGCTCTTCTCTCTTCTTTCTGCAAGCAGAAAGACACAGCAGCGCTGCACTGAAACATTTCCTGTGTGGACCTGCAGCTGGCCTGGCCTGCCCCTTGGAGCTCTGGCTTTTGTGTGTACAGCAAGTAAATACTTCTCCCCATGCTCAGGGACCTCACTGTGGGTCACAACCATCACTGACTCTGTTCCTTTGTACCCGATTTCCCTCCAGATCAAGATGCTTTACTGGAAGTCCCAGAGAGGAGCTGCAGGTGCATCAGAGGTATGCAGCCAAATTAATAGGACCTTTCCTTCAGAGATCACTGTCATAATCCCTGTCTCAGCAGGTTTGAAGTACATTCTTGCTGTGTACTGACACAACAGGCTGATTTCAATCAAACTTTGTCTGGTGTTTCTCTGCTCCCTGCACTCCCAACCCTCCCCCAGACTTTTGAAATCATTGATCAACTACTCAGGAGAACAAGGAGCCTTGAGGATGTTGCCATCTGAAACTGGGAATATTAGCATTTTCTTGGTGCTGCCTGGGGAAGAAAAAGACATCACAGTGCTCTCTCTCTTAAGGACTCACACAGGATTACATGGGATTGGATATTAGGAAAAATATATTCTCCAAAAGGGTGGTCAGGAATTGGAACAGGCTGCACGGGGAAGTGGTGGAGTCATCATCCCTGGAGGATTTAAAAGATGTGTGGATGTGGCACTTGGGGACATGGTTCAGTGACGTGCTTGGCAGTGCTGGGGGAAAGGCTGGGCTCCATGATCTTGGAGGTCTTTTCCAACTTAATGACTCAGAGCTAGTCAGAAGATGGCCAGGCTGCCTCCCTACAGGGCAAGGAGTGAGAGGTTAAGGGCATGGAGCTCAAATACATCTCACAGGGAGTTATGTCCCTTTGGGATCTATAAGTTTACTCTCCTGGTCAAGAAGCAGATAAGATTGACGCTCTTGTCTGTTGTTGCTTACTTTCCCTTTCTACAGCCTGCTTTGTCAAACTAAGTTAATGAAGCTAGTAATTTATATAAACGAGAAAACACACACTCAGGAGCTCTCTGCTTTATGTCTCTGACCCATTGGAAATCAATTTGGGATCACTGCTATCTATTTGCAGCTGACTGGGCTCTCCATCCCTAAATTATCACTTTGTAATTTCCCTGTGCTTTTTCTTTTCTTTTTTTTTTTTTTTTTAATCTCTGCAGGGAACATCTAAAAGGGGATTTTTAATCCCCACATCTACATTTCCTGCAATTCCTGTGTTTCCATGAGGCACTGGAGACCTTTCAGCAGCGAGCAGGACTGCAGAGAGAAGCTGGTGGTGATGAGATCTGCCTCTCCTGCTGAGCACGGCTTCCAGACAACCTGCTGGAAAGGTGTTTGTGACTCACAGCAGCAGAAGGGGTTTGTGAGAGCCTGGGGACGTTTGTGGTGCTGAGGGTCACTCTTGCCCAGCTCAGGTTCTCCCCAGCAGCTTCACCAAGAAGGTGCTGTGCTCAGCTGGAGCAGCTGGGGCTCTGGTGAGGCCGGGCAGCACGAGGGGTTGGCTCTCTTCCTGCAGCTTCTCAGCCACAGGGAGCAGGGCAATGCTCTACTGAGAACTCCACAGCCGAAGGACTCCGGAGCCCTGATGGAATGTGGCAGGAATGTGGCAGGATGCTGTCAGCCACAGCTCCAGTTTGTGTGACCAGCTGCCCTTGGGAGTGGGAAGGTGAAGCTACAGCCTGTGTTGTAAACCAAGCCCATCTTGGGCTCGTGGAGGCAGGGCAAGAAGGAAAGAAGAAATTATTATTTTTTGGACTTGAAGCAAACAATGCCCACCCAAAGGCTAAGTCTGTGATCACCCAGAGGTGGTCCCGTGAGAATGCAGGAGTCACTGAAGCCTTCCTGTGCTCCCTCACTTGTGGTGTGCCACTTCAGTGGATTTTTGATCGGGTTTTTCCTCCCTCCCCTCAGCCCTACAGTGCAACAGGGGCAGGCCAAGCATGTGCATGACCCACTGGTGTGAGGTCCACGTGAGCAGAGCTGTCAGTGCACAATCTAGAGGCAGGTGAGTTTGAGGGCACATGCACCTGTGAAAGGGTTTTTTTATAAAAATAATTGAAAGATTGGGGATGGAATTCCGGGGCAAGTGTTCAACCAACCCACTCCTCAGCAACTGGAGGCAGCTCTGCAGGAAGTAAGATGAAAATAGTTCAAATATTATGTGCAAGAGTTAGCTATGAGCTGTATCACCAATATGTATTATATACAAGGTATTTAAAATCATTAACAAGACAAAATCTTCAGTGCTAAGCTTTGGAATTATTTTCCCTCAATTACTGGATCATTTTAAATTCAACATCTGTCGTTAATATGCATATATTAAAAAAATAAAAATAGATTTGAAACCATCTAAACCACTAGGCAGCATATGGCAGACCTGTTTAATCTTAACAAGTCAATAATATTATCATTATGAATCACTTCTCTGTTAAAATGTGTATTTATGTCTGTTGTATAAATGATGTTTGTTTGTAAAAGCCTTTTGTGCCACCCATGCAATTGTCACTTGTCACAGCTAATTCTAGATTGTTTCGAAAAAACAATTTTCCTCTTGGAAAATTGCCACAGACTGAGGACAGACAGAGATGCAAATCATCACCAGTCAAAGTTTTGACAACATCACACACAAAGTGCAGGGAAGATCTGGAAGGCCTGTGTTTTGCTGTAGTTAAAAATGATGGGTTTCTTTATTTTTAAGGCATTGTGGAAAGCACTGTTCCAAACACTTTTCACCCCCCAAAAAGTTGTACACAGCGTCTGACAAGATCTACATTCTTTCCTGGTTTCTAACATTCTTCCTTCATTGCTAAATGAAGAAACAGGTTTTCCCATGGAAGAGTTTACAGTGGCACTGCTCACCTGGAAATGCTGCTGCCCAGGGACAGGGTGAGGACACAGAAGAAGTGGGGATTGAAAGCCAGACTTCTCAGACCCTGAAATCATTAAATTATTGGCTAAGGGCAACAGAACTTTGAAAAGTTGTCTTTCAATCCTTGACTGAGAAGGTTCATCTCCTTCCCCCACGCATGTTAAGGAAAGGCTCTTGACTTTCAGGTCACTGTTTTTCATGCAGACATCTCCCTTCAGCTCAGTGTGAGGCAGTCACATCTCAGAGATGCAGCATGAGAAGTCACACCTTCACTTTGCCCCCTCAGGAGGGGCTGTCAGCAGGGTCAGCCCAGACAGCAGCTCATTCTGCACATCAGCATTCAACATTTTGGGTCAAACCCTCTCCAAGTGCATTGTACAATCAGCTTGGGATGCTGTCTGTGCTCCTGTGTGTTCACTCAGTCTTACCAAGTTTAGATCTGATTTGTGGGTTTAGCTCAGATCTGCTTTCCAAGGATTCAGTGGCACAGTAACCAGCAGCCTCAGGTTAAATGTCTTCTGTGAACATGTGAACTCCATTGGCAAGCAAAGAACAACCAACAAATCCCAAACCCCCAACAGGTCAAAGGAATGAATTCACATAACAATTCAACAATTCTTAAAATACCTTGGTTCCTGGGGATTAGGTCACTTCTAAGAGGGGTAGAAGATGTTTCAGTGTTTGCCCACCACTGAAGGAGGTATGTCCAAGTGGAATATTTGGTAGCTTTCTAAACCATTATGGGTTTGCTGAGTGATCAGAAAAGGACAAAAAAATTGGGGGCAAGAAGAAAATGCACAGGATTTTTAGTATTAAAATGAATTACCTGGACAAGCTGAATCTGCAATGTGATGTTCAACAAACATCCTAATTTGCAGTGCTGAAAATAGAGATAATTAGGCAAGCACTTTCACTTCCAGATCCAACATGAGGTATTTGAAAACAGAGGTGGAAGGTGGGTTGGGAGAAGGCCAGACTGGCACAAGAATAGTGTTAGACTTTCTGTCAGCAGTGAGTAAAACTAAGTGAAGTGTCAGCACAGCTTTCTGCATCTGAAGCTATTTACATTCAAATATTGAGACTCAAGGAGATGGATAAAGATAATGTAGAGCTACAGTGAGTTTCACAATTCATCTATTTAAAAATAGCTGCAAAAATAGCAAGCTCTAGAGATTATCCTAAATTGCAGATATCTGAAACACGGATCTGCAGTTTGATTTCACCTTTTATTGCAGAAAGTCCAAGCTCTTTGAAACACAGTTTAGAGCAGAGACAAGTGTGTCCCTATTGTGTCTTCTTAAATGGAGACCAGTGATTTAACCAAGTCACTGTGATATTCTGCTGTAGATAATAGGTCCAAAATGAGCTTTGAGGTTCCTCTCTCCACAAGATTTGAATTTGACATTCACAGCATAACCAGAGGGTAGAAAACAGCGAATCATGTAGGTAGAAACTCTTGCTAATGTCCCATTTACGGTAACTAAACAAGTTTAATCCCAAAAGAAATGAAAGAGAGAGCTTTGAAGTGCTCTGTTTAACCTCCGTTAGCTAGAGGTGTTTTCTATGAAATTCAAAATATGTTGTCAGGGAGAGCAACATCCTTTTAGGAAATATTCTAACCTTGTGAGCTGGATATTGCCACTTTTAACCACCAGGACATGTTTTAGTAACTGCAGAAACACAGCAAGAAAGATCTTACAACAAGATATGGCAGAGTTTAGCTGTTCAGAAGCGTGCTAATTTCTCTTATTAATGGCTGGGAATCCAGCAGGCACCTCTTATCCACTGAATATCAACCCTGCACAGGTACTTCCCAACAGGCACTGATGAGACATTTGAGAATCCACTTTGGAATAAGCAGCAGTGTGGGTAAGCTGTCACTGCATCTGGAAAAGAGACAGAAGCCTGAGAGGAACCTGTGAGGTCTCTGACTCAGAGCATTTAATAACTGTGTTAGGCCTGGTTCCAAATAGCTCCTTCTTCTTCTGCAGTGTATTTGGACACACTATCTGAGCAGGCAAGGAGCAAACACAGGTTACTCCTCAGAGCTTGTATGGGGCTCCACCAGCTACAGTCACACTTTGGGCTGAGAACCTTCATCCCACCTCCATCCACATCAGCAATAGTCTTGATTCAAATCAGGATAACAGGAATTTTACAAGGGGTCCCTTCTTTTCCTTTCTCCTCCTCAACACCAGTAGAAGAAAAACAGAATAAGGTGAACTGCCAGCCTGTTTGTTTCGTGTTATACAATAATCCCAAGAACAGTTTCTAACAAGTGGAAGAACCCAAGATCTGAGAGATCTCCTCCTAAAGCTCTGGCAGACTGAAGTCCATGAAGCAAAACCCACAAATATATATAATTATCAACCTAATAAAAAGCTAAAACAAAACTCTGAATCAGAGCTAGTAGGTATATCAAGTACCATCTCTTCTCAAGAAATAATTATCAGTTTCTCTTCAACATTCAGCATGAATGCATTTGATAAAATTAAACAAGTCTCCCGAGGCTGTGTTATTAGGAGATACTATTGCATGAAGTCAGCTAGAGCCCACGTAGGCAAGACAGTGATTAGAATAACTATCTGATACTAATAAAGCAGCTTAATAAAACAGAATTAAAAGGCCTTTCCTAATCTGTTAGGAAAATAAATACTGAAAAGAATTAATGAAAATGAATTAAAACTATTCGGGGGGAGGCATAAAGGATTGATATTCCACCTAATCTTAGACATCTCTGTTCTCCCAGAGTACTAAAAAGCTGTCCCCAGGCCATTATATTCTTTCTAAGAAACTTTCAGATTTCATCCTCATGGATTTATTAACTCCTTTTTGTTCCAAATGGGTCTCTTGCTCCTACTGATATTACCTCTTCTGTTTCCTCTTGCACTCACCTCTCAAAAGAGGCACTGTGAGCCCCACCTCTGCTTCAGACTGTGTCATCTGTCTTCTGTTTGGAGACCTCCTCCACTGGTGTAAAATGCTGCAGGATAACAGGCTCCTGATGCTGCCCCAGCTGGCACAGCCTCCCATCCCTGTGCCTGGAATCTGTCTGAGCAAGAAGACAAATCAATACTAATTAAAGGTCCCCTGGAAAGTAAATGATTGCTTGAAGTGTGCAGTGTGGCAAGGAGCCCTGTTGCCTGTTTGTGCCTCTGGTTTATCACCCCACAAGAACAAGGGTTTGTACCTGGAACCAGGAATCTATAGCTGATAAAGGTCACAGCTCCTGTTGGGATAAAAGGAGCCTACAGACCTCGGAGAAAAGTGGGCTTTTCATTTCCACACATGCAGCAGGTAAGAGTGACCATTTCAGCTGTCTGGCTGCTGATTTCCAGCAGCTCCCAAGGATTGGAACATACACAGAAATATTCAAGAGCATTTTGTGGGGTACCTGGAGTGACCTCCCATTTCCTGCAGGAAGGATGCTTTCTGGTATCTGGCCTTCCTCTCTAGCAGACAAGAGCTAGAACAAGATAAATAGAATCAGAGAAAATTATGTTAAAAATCAGAAATGTTGCTTAGTGCAGGTTGCCTCTCACAAGCTATGGCAGAAAATTCTGTTTCCTTGTGCCTCTGCTAAAAGCTTTGTGAAAGTGCTCCATCAG